AGTTGGAGAAGTACCTTGTTGTTTCAGCTGGATAATACTCTACTTGAATTATATTAGAAAAACTGAAAGAAAAAAAAGTAAATACTTTATGTAAATATGTAAATTTTTTTGCTAGCAAATTTTCTTTGCTATCAAGAAGTAACCTATCCTTCAGCCTAATTATTTTTATACATTATTAGTCACACAGAGGGTACTGCTAGTTTAATTTGCTTTGGAAGATGCTTGCTTTTCTTTATAAAGTGTGTGGGAAGTCACCCCCCCAGAAAAGGAAATATTTTGGGGAATATTAAAAAAGCAGAATATGATATTTCCCCAAAGGATCTTAAAGGCAGAAATGCAGACCTAGGTTTTCTTAATAGCCCCAAATAGAAACTAAACAGGCCAACTCTGTAGAAATGCAGATTTGATAATCCCATTCAGAAAGACTGAGGAGCAAATACTACCGGGCAGAAGCTGATTCAAGACAAAATATTTTGAAATCCCTTGCAGCAAAACTGATAGCTAACAATAGCAGAGTGATAGAATTAGAACCAGCAATCCCTCATCCAAAAATTCAACATGGGACCTAGCCATCAGCCCCATCCCCAGGGAAGCAGGACATGACCTTTAGGATATAATAGGATTAACCCACCACCATTAGAATACCAAAAGGGCATAGTTCATGCCACAGGAAAAGGAACAACTCCAAACACAAAAGCCCAAGAAAGTATAAAAATCCCACCACTCCCAGTTCCATGTGGTCAGCCACCCCAGAAACATGCTATGTCACTGAAATTTCTGGCAACTCAATAAAGAACCTTTTTTTTCAAACAGCCTCCATTTTGTTTATTTCCAGCTTGGACTGAAGCCTGATGAAGATTTTTCTTTCAACAAGGGCATGTGTAAAATCTTCAGAATTTCAGCTCCATTCCTTCAGCCTGCCAAAAGATTTCCCCTCCCCTCTGCACAAAGGGGAAATCCTTTGTGGATCAACTCCCCTCCATCGCCTCCACCTGCAACCTTCTTTACAACTTCCCCAATGATTTAGTGGAAAACCAAGAGAAGATTCCAAATGAAGCTCATGGTAGGGCACTTGGCAGCCAGTTGTGAATGCAAATTAGTGACCAAGTGCCCAAAATGCAATCATATGATCCTGGGGGGGGGGAATAGTGTGACATTTTATGATGGCTAGAAGTGCTTTATGAATCGTAAAATGCCCTTTCTGAGGCTTAGTAATTTTGAACGGTGTAAAGCAGTGGTTTACTACTAAACCTTGCTAGAGAAATGCATGTTCTTCCTCTTCAATCATTTCTCATGTGCCTTCAAAATGTGTTACAGTAAGAATGGAAATGGTTATAGGTGTGTGCAGAAATACTCTGTTTGTCAAGTAGATTTTTATGAAAATTTCCCTTTGCCTTTCCCATCATAGCTCTTTAACAGTGATGGCGAACCTTTTAGAGACTGAGTGCCCCAAAATAGCCGCCCCCGTCCCTGCTCCGCCCTGCCCGCTGGGCCACCCACCACTTCCATAGCCCGCCACAGATCATCCTGGCAGCCCAGCAGCGCCATGGTGGCCACGCCTTCCGGCTGGGCCCTGCAGCATCATCTGCGTGCAACGGGGCATAAGGGCGGAGTCTTGTTCCCGCTGCCCGGCTACCATGTCCTTGGTTGCGCTGCTTTGCATGGGCCGTGCCCGGGGGCAAGTCTCCGGGGGGGGGGGGCTGCTGGTGAGGGTCATGGGAGAAGGCAGGGCTGGGGCAACGGTGTGTGTGCCCACAGAGAGGGCTCCGAGTGCCACTTCTGGCACGCGTGCCATAGGTTCGCCAACACTGCTCTATAACATTCACTAGGGCTGTATGGTTCTCTCCGTAATGTTTTCAGGAAGTGGGTTGCAGTGACTATGGAAAGTCTATATCTTATTTTTTTTCTTATTCTTAAAAAAATTAAACCTATACTTGTCCTTATTTTACATATCCAAAGTTTTCTGTCATTGCCTTATACACTGTGAGTCTTGTCAGATAACTTCACCCAAACAAGTTCAAACCTTTCAGTTCTAATTTAAATTGAATTTGACAATTTTACACCCAGTCTCTCCCAATTTATTTTGTGGAGCCTTTAGAAGTTGAATGATAAGTGTCTACTAAGCAGTCTTGAAATAGTCACTGGAAATAAAGAAGAAATATTCTTGAAGTTATTGAAAATGGGATTTTTTAAAATGTTCTTTGTATCTCACTGTTACTGGTGTTAATTACACTACATTGAAAATTGCTTGCTTAGTGTCTTCAGGCAATGATAATGTAATATTTTTGCCTTGTCTGCTTTATCTAGTTAAGCTGTCCCACACCACTGAAACAGGTTTCAAACCAGTTGTGTAGCTTCAGTTTCCACATAGAATTACTCAGATTGCTTACAAGATTGAATCCCATCATTTTGTATGTTATTACCGTAATAGTATAGACACACCTTTGTGTACAAAGTAAGGTGTGGCTTGGTCATTGAGTATTTAATATTTTAAGTATATAGTTATTTTTCCTCCAGAACTCTGTTTTTTACCGTATGGAATATATCTGAAGTTTCTGAATGTAGTAACTAGGTTTGTATGGAATGTACAAACATCCTGCATAATTGTTGAAAAAAAAATGCAGGAATTTATTTTATGTATGTTTTGTACTGTCACACACAATTTTATTTCCTGTGTTACATTCAGAAACATCATTCCGTGTACTTCAGAGGCCCTGTGACAGTGTGTCTGTAAATGGAGTGGAGAAATGGTGTTGATCAGCTCCCTCTGGTTGTTTTGTGAGCTGGTGACATCAAGGGTGTGGAGCATAGTGGAGAAAAGCCTTGCTCCCTGATAT